TTTTTTAAGAGTTGAAAGTTATAAAGTACCAAAATACTGGAGGGGAACTACCCCTGTGTTTGGGATGCCAGCTTTCTAGTCAATGCCTTCATTTATAGGGCAATCCAAATGAAGAAATCCTTTCTTGAACAGTGAGTCAGAAAGATTGGATATAGCCCTGGCTGGTGTGGTTCAATTGTTTGAGCACCAGCATGTGATCTAAAAGGTTGATGGTTCCATTTCCAGTTGAGGCATATGCTTGGGTTGCAGGCCAGGTCCCATGATGGGGGTGTGCGAGAGGCAATCCATGGATGTTTCTTTCCTTCCCTTTGAAAGAAATATTCATGCTCCTAAGGATCACTACAACATCCCTTGCATTTCCTCAGGGTGAGTGAACCATTTTGCAAAAAAAATTGTTTCCCACATGGATTAGTGAAGGTCATCAAAATTATTATCTATTTCTACATAAAAAAAAATCTAGAATCCCACCCCACATTTGTTTGTTCATTCATGTAATAAACATTTGATTGCTTCTATGTACTGTTGCCTGTGCTTCATTTTTACCTGTTGCCTATAAACATATGTGCCCCTTCATTTAGATTCTCTGAGGAACTTACTCATCTTTACACTTCTTCCGGTGTGCCGAGAAGGTTTTGTTATATAACCAAAAAAAATCAGAACTGAAGTGAAGTTAAAGGATAGTAAAGGATCAAAAAAATTATACAAGGAGCCAGAACAGATTTTTTCTGCTCTCTTTTTAAAATTATGTCCATTTTTGACCTTAGAAGGATGTTTTCTTCCTAGAATCTCTGTCATATTCTTAAATGTTCAAGGTAAATGTCTTTTTCTTTGATGCTTATGAAGCAATTCTGAGCATGTTAACTACATTTCTGTTACAGTATATTATCAAATAACTCGTACATTTAGAATCAACACAGGACTGTTTTTCTTTTTGGCTTTAATTTACTCCACTATGATTTCTATTTCCTGTCCTACCTATTCCTCTGTTCACATGGTTTATAAATGGACTCACTTCTTCAATGAAAAGTTCTTTACTTTTGGAAAACAGAATCAACTCATTGTCTTCAGACATAATGATAAGCAGTGTGGACTTACACATCTGACTGCCTCTTTAACATACACACATGTTTGTCTAACTGGCCCCTCAAACTTGGCATGCCTGAGTTCTTCATTCCTTCTCTACATCCCTTTACTTGTTTGTTCCACCTCAGAAATGGCAATGCCCTTATGTCCCAAACTTGGGGGTTTTCCTTGGCTCTTCTCTGTCATTCATAACTCTTATCTAATGAAACCAAAAATCCTGTCAGCTATTCCTTGAAAATCTCTCCTGAATCTGACCACTTATCATCCCTATGGCTCCATCCTGGTCTAATGCAGCATCATGTCTTGTTTCAACTTTATTTATTTATTTTTAGAGAAAGGGGAAAGGAAGGAGAAATAAAATGAGAGAAACATCAATGTGTGGTTGCATCACACATGCCCCCTACTGGGGACTTGGCTCACAACCCAGGCATGTGCCCTGACTGGGATTCGAACCAGAGACCCTTTAGTTCACAGGTGTGCACTCAATACACTGAACCACACCAACCAGGGCTCTTGCCTAAATTTTTCATACACTCCCCGAACAGGTCTTCCTGCTTTTGTCCTTCTCCCTGCAGCTATTTTGAATACTGCAGCCAGAGGGATTCAGTTAAAGACATAAGTCAAATTGGGTCACTGCTCTGCTCAAAATCTTCCAATGGTTGCTCCTCTCAGATGGTATAAGAGTTGGAGTCCATACCCTGCCCTACATGCTTCTAGATTGAACTTTGCTCTCTCATATCATCTCCTTCCTTCTCTTCCTTGTTCACTCTGCTTCCAGAAATACTGATCTTTCTAGAATATGCCAAGCATTTTTCTGCTTCAGAACATTTATATTTATTGTTTCTTATCTCCTCCAATGCCCACGTGCCCCCAAATATTTGTATGGCTCACACCTTCATTTCATTCTGGTTTCCTCTCAATTGGTCCCTGATTTCAGGGACCTTCTGTGACCATATTATCACATACGCCACTATTTTCTCTCCCTCTTGCCCTGCTATCTTTCTCTCCACAACACTTACAGCCAATTTTTCTCATCGCCTGCCTCTTTATACTGGAACTTAAGCTCTTTGAAGGTAATAAGAAATATTTATTGAGAGTTTTCCATGTGTCAGGTCCTTTTCAAGGCATTGGGGAGATAAAAGTAAACACAACAGACACATGCCAATGTCCTTACAGCATTTCCATTCTAGTATTATAAAAGTATTTCCTCAGTAAATATTTGATAAGTGCATCAAATAAATAGAGCATACACTCACTCAGCAGAGTAACAGAAATGGTTCAAAAGTAAAGTAGACTTGGATTAGCTCGTCACCCTTTAACTCATTGGAGAATCCACATCTAAAGAAATAGTTGAGCCCTGGCTGGTGTGGCTCTGAGGATTGAGTTCTGGCCTGCGCATCAAAGGGTTGCTGGTTCCATCTCAGTCAAGGCACATGCCTGGATTGCAGGCCAGGTCTCCAGTTGGGGTGTGTGAGAGGCAACCATGCACTGATGTTTCTTTCCCTGTTTCTCACGTCCTTCCCCTCTTTATAAAAATAAATAAAATATATCTTCAATAAAAAATAAATTCTATCAATAATATTTAAACAAAAAGAAAGAAATGATTGGATAGGATACCAGGTGGGCAGCTGGAAATGTAATCAAATGCCAGGACTCACAGACATTCCATACTTCTAACTCTCTAAGTGGCTCTTGGATTCCTCCCAGTTCGACAAAAAACATCTGTGACTGGCACAGATTGAGTAGAGTTGAGTGACTACACCATCAGATTGTGAAGAAATTAGAAAAGAAGTGCTGAAATCTAGTGCCAGAAGCTTTGAACTTCACCAGAGACATACTGTTTTATACCAAACCAGAATAAATACTGCATGAAAGATCAGTAGCAAAGATGGTGGTAGCCACTTCAAGATAAAGTGGTTTAGGGAACTGGAAGGGAAAAGTTGGGAGTCCAAGGGAAGAGGAAACTTTAGAAACTACTAGACTTTTTACATGGGAAGGAAGGGAAGTCTCTGCCAACTATTTAAGGCTATATTGCTCTTATCATCTCTCTGCTCTCCCTACTTAGCAATTAGGGAATATGAAAGATTTCTTTTTTTTAAGATTTTATTTATTTATCTTTAGAGGGGAAGGGAAGGAGAGAGGGAGAGAAATATCATGTATGGTTGCCCCTTGTGTGCCCCCTGCTGGGAACTGGCCTGCAACCCAGGCATGTGCCCTGACTGGGAATCGAACTGTGATCCTCTGGTTCACAGGCCCGTGCTCAATCCACTGAGCTACACCAGCCAGGGCATATGAAAGATTTCTTGGTACTGGGAGCAGCCTCAGGGAGAGGGTCAAAGGTGGCAAGATCTACATCCATCAAAGGGTGAGGTAATAGGGAGAGGAAAGGGACCATGACTCCCAGTTCTCAGTTTCCACATTGCCTTCCAAACACTTCCTGGAAACTGGTTGCAAGCAGTATGCAAATAACAGGTGCTTTTACTTCAGGGACCCCATCTCCTAGGCTGAAACTTGGTTATCCATTGTATGCAAAGTGTCTGTTCTAGCCAGTGGCCCCATTAGACCAGTTCTCCATTCAAGGGCTCAAGCTGCTCCCATCTCCATTGACTGAAACACCCTACCTAACTCATTTCTCTGACCCTTTCTCTTTTTAATCACAGCATCCTTGTTCTGAGCTCTTTGTCAGACTCCATCCAGTTCTCTTCTTCTGGCCTTTAATGACAAAGTCCTGGCCCCATTTCTTTACTAGCATATGCCTCTTGGAAGTGCTGCCATCATGGGCCCTTAATCACATTAACACAGGTCAGCTTTAATAACTCATTTTCATCTTTATAAAGGCCGAGGGCTTTGTAAACCCCAGACATATATCTTTGGCAGAGGTGGCTAGTGCATGCTGTATCTGAATCCAGATGGTGCTACAGCAGCCCAGAGCCATGTCCTCTTCTAATGGCTGTGCCAAAGAAGCACTGTCCTGTAAACTGATACAGTAACACTGGAATACAGCAATTCAAAGACCTGGCCCAGGAGTTCACTCAGCATTTTGTTAGGCCCTACAAAATACATTACTAGTTAAGTCTATTTTACTCTGAATAGGGACTGTTTTCAAGGTACATCATAACCTAGCCAAAGAAGGAACAAACATCATTAACTTACGCAATAAACACCAACAGCCCTGGCTGGTACACCAGGGGGTTGGCGTGGTACGCTCAGTGGGTTGAGTGTGGGACTACAAATAAAGGGTCACTGGTTTGATTCTGAGTCAGGGCACATGCCTGGGTTGCAGGCCAGGTCCCCAGTAGGGGGCATGGGAGAGACAACCACACATTAATGTTCCTCTCCCTCTCTTTCTCCTTTCCTTCCTCTCTATCAGAACATAACTAAATAAAATGTTTTAAAAAACAACAATTTGCCAAATACTACTCTAGATTCTGGGTTTATGCCAAGAGAAATTCATGCCCTCAAGGAAGTTGTGAGTTCTAGAAGGTCAAGTTCATATTTAAGCATGGTATCAGATACCAACACTGACATGATTATCATTAGAATTAAGATATCATGCAAGCGCCAGCATGGCACAATACTATGTCAATTCCAAGAATAGTACTGAATCTTCTTGGTGGCCTTAATAGATATATCATATCCCCAGGAAAGATGAGGTCCTTTTGCAGAGTGATCTTGAGAAATACAAATGCTACCATGGCTCTCAGATATACTGAGAAAGGGCTGAAGAAGGAGAGAGAATTCTGTGCCATCCATTTTATGTCAAATGACTGATGGGTAGGCTAGTGTGGAAAAGCCTTCTGCTGTGACCTTGGGTCTGTGGATAATATATGAGATGGTGGAACACAATCAAGAAGTTAGTTCTCAGAAGGTATTCTCATTAAATGACCTACGATAAAGCATCACTCAAGGAGACTTACCGTCCGCTCCTTCACTGCTTTTGCTTCTTTTATTGCGGCGAACACGCCTACTTTCTGCTTCGGAGTATGACTTTTCTTCAGGGAAGAAAAAATTCAAAAGGGCCATCTGTAAAAATAAAAAGTAGATGAATAAAAGCTTGACCCTGGTCAACCACAGATGAGATACAGAAAAATGACAAAACTAGTTTTCTGTAGACAGTCTACTTTTGCCTTAAAATCAGTATGTCTAAACCCTGGGCCCATCTTCCCTGTTCCCATACAAATCCTTTTACTTTTGTTACCATTATTATTCCAGTCATGAAATTTGGGTAAGCTGTGAATCTCCTCTCTTCTGTTTTGAATATCTAATGCCCAATCCTTCAAGTCCCATTCCTCCATATAGTTCTGGGATTCAGAGAGGACAGTCATGGATATCTAATGTCTGCCCCATACATCTGAGAACTGCCCAGAATTAGACTTCAGTTCACAACTCCCTTTTGGACATCATTATCATATATCCATGATTTTCCCACATTCCTTTTTATACTAAACTTTTCAGTTGTTCCACAAGTCTGTGCATTCAGTTATGACCGGAAGATGCTATTAATGTCAATGTTCTTCTGGTAGTTAAACATGAAAAAAGCACACTTATTCTTTGCTCTCGACTCATAGAACTACAGCACTTGGGTCAATAAGACTCATTTTGGTACTTGATCCTCTACTGGGGTGTCCAACTTGTAGTCAGCATGTGACCCAACATGGCTGTGAACTCAGCCCAATACAAAATCATAAATTTACTTAAAACTTTATGAAATTTTGCCCTGGCTGGTGTGGCTCAGTTGATTGAGTGCCAGCCTGGAAAACAAAGGGTTGCTGGTTCAATTCCCAGTCAGGGCACATGCCTGGGTTGTGGACCAGGTACCCAGTTGGAGGCATGATGCATTCCTCAAACAATATTTCTCTCCCTCCCTTCCCCTCTCTCTCTCTCTCAAAATTAAATAAAGTCTTTAAAAATTATGAGATTTAGTTGTGATTGTGTGTTGCAATGATATTTAATGTATGGCCCAAGATACCTCTTCTTCTTCTAGTGTGGCGCAGAGATGCCAAAAGGTCAAACAACCCTGCGTGAGTCTACTTTCTTATGATGATGTCTCCTAATAGTACAGTCTGTTTCATATGTGAATGGGCCTGGATCCACTAATGATAACTATCACTTAAATATGTAGTACCCAAAATGATTCATACTCTTTCAGCACGAGTGCCTCTTTGTTGTTAAAAAATATGCTTGCAGTAAATAGTGGAAACAAGAGTAGAAATGACAGTGATTCTAACCTGACTTTGCCATTTACGGCTGTGTGATCTTGGGCAAGTTACTTCAGCTTTAATTTTGTCTTCTATAAATAGGGATAATAAGGAGTACTTTGCTCATAAAGTAGTTAAAGGGTTAGCACAGTATCCAGCATATAATATCTACTCAATAAATGTTAGTTATTACTATTATCAAAATCAATCTTCCAAACAGACTGGTTAGATAGCTTAGGGGTTAAAAAAGGAGAAATAAATCTGCATTTTCATCCTAGTATAAATGTGCAAAAATAAACAGTTTCAGAATCTCATGTCTGTTGTATCTCTCATTAATTGAAACAAAAATTCTATACAAATTTTCTTCAAAACCCTATGATTTACTGTTTACATAGAAGAATCACACCCAACAGCCTTAAAGTACAAGATTAGCATCTTGCAGAATATATGCATGTGTGAAATACAAAGTTAAGAAATGAATGTTTAGGTAATCTACAACTTGTCATGAGATTAATTTTAAAAAATTTAGGTTGAACCAAATGAAACTCATTTTTTGTATGTCAGAAAAGGTTGAGTGTCAGCAATTTCACATGGTTCAAGTGAGCAGTATTTTTGAGTCACTTGATTGGAATGTAAAATGCATTTTCCCATAAAATCAACATAATAAAGTCTGACTAGGTTTCCAAATAAAGCCCATAGAAAATTACGTCACCCATACAAAAATAAGCTATTTTACTACTACTACTACTACTACTACTACTACTACTACTACTACTACTACAAACCCAAACTGTATTTACAATGAAATCTCAGTCATTTGCAACTCCAAAAGGGCAAGTGATGCTGGACAGAAATTTTCTTGATAATGGAGAGGGCTGAAACTTACTACACTGATTTTGGATAGAAATTGATTTGGAATATGATTTTAACTCATGGCTTACTGAGTATATAGGAGGCTATTTGTACATTAAATGGTCCCAGTCCAGTATGGTTTTGAGGTTTCTCACAACAATTATAACTCCATTAAAGAGCAATACATGCTTTGCTAGAGAGAAACAGCAGGTTCTCGAGGATTAAATGGAAAAGCATCTATCGCAGACTGAAAGTAAAACGAGGCTTCTCAGAGGCACTACCTCTGGGAATCCTAAAGGATATTGTTGATTTAGTGACTAATGAGAAACTAAAAAGGAATTCTACATACAATGAGAAATGTGTATATAAATTCAGAGGAAAGAGAGATTCCCAGCTTGTGGAAATACAATTAATTTAGAAGAGGTAATGGGTTGGAGGAGGTATGTTAGTGTGAGGGTTAGGGTTAGGATTAGACATTCTAAGGGCTGATCTAGATGGGAGATCATGTTAAGAAATGGTGACTTTATCCTGCACAGGGGAATATATCCTCTGAAATATTGTTCCCCTTTGTTCAGTTTTGTGCTTTGTGAAAATTTATGTTGTAATCTCCATTCAATAAAATGCACCCATTGTAAGCATAGAATATGAAGAGTTGTGAAAAATGTATATACTTTTATAACTACCACCCAAATCAAGACATAGCACACTTCCTTCACCTGAGAATTTTTTCTTGTGCATCTTCCATTCTTCAGTGTGACCCTCACCCCAGGCAACCACTATCCTAATTTCTATCATCGTAGCTTAGCTTATCCTATTTTAGAATGTAACATAAATGGAATCATACAATATAATTGTATGATTTTTGTGTGTTACTTTCATTCAACATAATCTCTGTGAGACTCATCTATCTTGTTGTGGGTATCAGTAGCTCATTCTTTTTTATTGCCAAGTTATATTTTAGTGGAGAGATAGACTGTAACTTTTCAGTGAATTCACCCATTGAAGAACATTCTGGTTATTTCCAGTTTGGGGCTATTATGAAAGGAACTGATATGTGAACTCATGTACAAGTCTCCTTGGGGACATATGTTTTAATTTTTTTTGGATAAACACCAAGGGGTGGAACCTCCTGGTTATATAGTAAGGATTTGATGTGAGGAACTGCCAAACTGTTTTCCAGAGTGACTGGACCATTTAATACTCCCATCAGCAACGAATGAGGGTCCCAGTACTCTGCATTTTCATTACACTGATATTGTCAATATTATTGAGGATGTAAACTACTGTTTCATTGTGGTTTCTTTTTGAAATATTAAGCTTCTTTTAATTTTTTTTGGTCTCTTACCTTACTGTCAACTATCAGATTTCACTTTACCTACCTGTAACATCTTACCAAGTTTCTTCAAATTTGCTATTTATAATGTTATAGGCTTGCCATTTCATGAAGACTAACTAGAAAAATGTGCAAAAAGGATAAAAAGGCAGTCAATGAGTTTTGGAATGGCTTTTCCAATAAATAAGATGCACATTGTCTGGCAGCTTAGAGAGCATTTGTTTATTGCTCAGGTCCTGGCTGTGAGGTAGAGTGAATTTGTCAGGTAACTGAATTATCTATGGGCATGTTATTATAGGATAACACCATTTCTAGGGGAAAAGAATTTTGAAGTCCAAATGAAGACCACCCCCCACCCCACAACACAACTATAATTCCAAATTTCCTATACAGTCTTAGTGTTCCCTCATGGGCTCACCTCCCATGGGAATTCTGGCAGGGTCTTCAGAGCCTTCTTGTATCCTGATGGTGCAGTAGGAGACCATGCTTACATATTAATTGTTCCAAAGGGTCTGATGTAAGCTTATGAGAATTCAAGTTCAGGGGAGTGGGGGGAGGAGGAGCAGGGGGTGGGGCTGAGGGAAACACAGACTCCTGCAGACAGCAGAAACAAGACCAGTTTCCATGGGTAGGAAGAGTAACTTAAAGTCCCTTAAGAGAGGCTATTGATGAGTATGGGACACTCATAAATCAAGTGTTTATTGGAAGGGGCCCATGTATGAAAATGCTTTGAATATAGTTTCTATTTTCTCAATAAAAACTGGAAGAAAAACAACACAAAACACTGCTGAAACTGAAAGCAGATCCTTGTTCACAGTGCCCTTATTTGAGTCAAAATTAGATGAAGGAGGGAGAAGGAAGGAAAACTAACCTTTGTGTAGTGTAACAGTAAGGACAAAAATCAGTGGACACTCACACAAAAAGTCTAGCTTGAGTTTTGCATTCACTAGCATGGCATTCAGAGGCAAGTTGCAGAATACGACTGAAACAACTTTCTCTCCAAATATGGCTTCCCTGTTGCTCAAGGGAGGAGGCATCAGGAATGTTGGCCACAGCATAGCATGTTGCTCAAGGGAGAAAAAAAATCTAATTCTTTACACTTTATTAACTGATTACACCCTTGTTTCCTATGGTAAAATTACATGGTAAACAGCACCTGCAGATTACAGGCATCTCAGCTGGAAACAATTTGTTAACAGTGAGCCAGGAGGGATGTGTCCCATAGTACCAGTGACTCTCCACATATTGTTACAAACATTTTTCCTAATTAATTTCTAAACCCACAAAATTATTAGGGATTTTTCTCTTTTTACCATAATATATAATAAGTTTAATTCATTTAATCTATTTGATCATATAAAATACATTTTATCCATTTTTGTATACCTAGTGCCTACCTCTAGGCCTGGCACATAGTAAGCCCCTGGTAAGTATTTATGTGTTGAAAGAATAATAGGACTATCAGTAACCCATTCTTTAAAGGCAGGATTTCATTTGACTGTAATTGGACTTCATTTCTCAGGATCAGCCATTGACAGGTAGACTAAGGATTCATTACACTACCGGTGGTAATCAAATCAAAGGGATCTTAAGAATGAGAGACTATAGGTCAAGGCTCTCCAACATTAGCAAGCATCAGG